AGTTCTGGCTACGGAGGGCAACTGTCCACTCCTCACGGACGGGCAGTGGGCCGTGGTTCATCACGTGCACATGGGAAGAGCGTGCAGGTGAAGTCAGTGAAGAGAGAGATGAGTCCCGGGCTGAACGGCAATGGAAAACAAGCAGAACAGCTGGTGCAGACCATCCATGTTCTTCAGCCAAATCAAGGAGCTGCTGTCCCAGCGTCTACACACTCCGTAAGGTGAGGTGCATTTTTGTGTGCACAAATACATACATAGACAGGAAGTGTACTAACAAATTTAAAACCACTGTTGAAAGCTCTTTTCCAAAATCTGTTGTCTTTGCTGCCTACATAGGTAGCTACATTCTTAAGCAGCATCATCATAACCAAAATAGACCTTATAAGTGAGCCATTTGTAACACTTTTTTTCTAGGCTGTAACACGAATTACAGAGCCCTGTAAATGGCGTGGGGGAAAAAAACAAGATATCGTGGCCACAAATTAAGAATTTGTCTCCTCATTTTAGTTAAATTATGGTACAGCGTGACCACGATTTAACTAAATTAAAACAAGGGAATGAATTAGTACAACATGGCCACAATTGAACTAAAACAATGGAACAAATGAATACAATGTGGCCACGATAAGCAAGGGAATGAATTAGTACAACGTGGCCATGATTTAACTAAATTAAAACAAGGGAGCAAAGTAGCACAATTTGGCCACAATTTAACTAAAACAAGGGAACAAATTAGTACAACATGGCCACAAATAAATAATCTATCTAAAATGTTCTTAATTTTAAGAATTTAAAAATCTAAGAACAATGGTATCATACATTTAGTTTCTTTAGCTTAAAAAAGTTATATTTTGCATGTTCCACAGTTTATCAGAAAAACAATTGACTCTAATAATTCAGAGCCGCCATATAATTTTTCCTTCTCCTTATACTGGAGCTAAAGTGCTCTTGCTTTATAACCCTATGCCCCTCTATCTCTCTCAGGACTATAAATATGCCAGGCTCTGTTCCCATGGTCCTCACATCAGGAGCTCAAGGAGGTGGTCCAGTCACCCTGCAGACCTTGTCGCTGTCCTCTGTTCTGACCAATGGGGATTCCTCTACACATGCCTCGCCACCTCGGGTCATTCTCCACACTGTGCCTTCCACCAGCCCTGGCAGTAAAGATGTGCTCACCATCCAGACTGCCTCTCTGACGACAGACAGCATCCAGTCCCAGCAGCTCCTTGTGTCCACTCTGGGTTCATCCAGTGGAGGGGTCATCAGCACCACATCACAGCAAGCCGGATCTCTTAATGGCATCACCCGCCTGGTCACTCTCAATGCCAACGGGCAGCCTGTAGTGGCCCAGCAGCCTGGAACGGTCATCGCCACTATCCTAAAGCCCAGTGAACTTCAAGGCCTGCAGGTGAAGGAGGAGATCCTAGACCCCCAGTACCTCCAATCTCTGGTCAACAGCAACCCTAGTGTGGCCTCGTATGGCAAAGCTGAGCTCGAGGAAGGAGTGGCAGAGCTGAGCTACAGAACTGTGATTATCAACAGTGCAGGTCAGGAGCTGTACCAGACCCTCAATGGACACTCGGACATGGGCTTGCAGCTGGCCAGCAGCCCTAGTGAGGGCCTGACCCCCGTGGAGGAACTAGAAGTGAGGGGAGAAGTGGCTCTGCATCCGGAACCTGAGGCTAAAGAGCTGTTAGAGGGCTCTCAAGGTCTGCAGGAATTGCAGGGCACCATGCAGATACCCGCATCCCACTTCATCCAGGTCAAGGCGGAACCGGCTGAGACCTAAACTTTCGGCTGAAGCAGGGGAATGTGGACACAATCGACCAACACGTGAAAAAAACCCAGGATATTTTCTGTAATTTATTGCTCTTGATTGTTTAGAATGGGTGTTGACCCGAAGACTGCTGTTTACTCAAAGTTATTGTGATATTGTGCCTAAATTCGAACCTTGAGGGATACCGACCACGATGTCATGATGAAAGCTCTTTGGTATGCTCTCTGTCACTTCCAAACTCCCAACAGTAGAGCAGCCATTCTCCAACCAGGGATATTCCCACCATATGTGCCAGTTGAGATGTTTCTGTCTCTTCTCATCTCCACAGACAAATCCAAAGACTTTATCCAGCAGAGGGACCAAAGGAGGAGTTGGTGGGAAGCCAAAAATAAACCAACAACATACCATTGACTTTAGGATTTAAAAAACACACACAGTTGCTTAGGACATAAAAGATGGATAAACTTTTTTTTTTCTTTTGTAGCCATCTTCAAGGACTTCAAAAGGATGCCTACTGGAATAAGACTGAAAGAGTGCCTAGGTGGTTAATGCTTTGTTTTGGAAGTGATGCTTTGAAGGGGAAGATTGTATGATTCACTCTGTTTTAAATACAGAATTATGACATTATCTCATCCCCCTCATACCATCAGAACTGAAGAGGTTATTATTTTTCCATCACACACAAATTTAAAAGCACTGTGCTTTTATGGAAATGGGCATTGCCTGTCCAAAGAGACAGTTCTAGTAGACTTTGTTTGTATATAGTAACAGACTAGAGAATATAGTGACAAATTCCAAAATCAGCTGCAAAGTATTTCCCCATTATAATCTTGTTCATATGAAATGGAACGCAGTATACATAAATATATATATATATATATAAATATATAATATACAACTAAGATTCAATTTATGGCCACAAATTTATTTATTTTCTGAATTTCTAAATTCTGTGTAAAAAGTCTTTTTTTAAACAAATGCAAAAATGAGGGAAAATATGCAGTATGTAGGGCTAATTTTACCCATAAGAATCCAGTATGTGTATATTGCTGTATTTTTCCAATTTAAAGCATTCCATGTAATCCGCACACCTTTCATATTTTATCTATTTTTCAACATAAGGGGTCTGAACTTAGCTTTATGAGATTGAGCTATCATGCTGTTCTTATTCACTGTGATGTGTTTAAAGCCATTTTTACAAAGTGTACGTGCTATAAACGTGATGTCCTTTGGTTTCTGCCTTTACACTGTTATACTTTTACCCTATATCGACCACATATCGTTCGACTGATGCCTTAAACAACTGTTTTTCAGATCACAGATTGTGTCTCAGACACAGCTGTTGTGGTCTGTGACATTTAGGTAGATTTTTAAAATGTATTTATTTGTAGTTGATGTAGTAATCTGGCCATGGCCTCCGTTCCTTCCTCGCCTCATTTATATCCAGTGAATCTAGAGCACAGTCTCTTAATAGCAAACAGAGTGGATGCTGCAGACAAACTAAATTTGTGCTAAATTGGAAGAAGTGACTGAAGTTGTTGAAGGTAAATGGTGACTGGACTCTCTGAAGACCAGATGCTGATCATGGGCAGCAGGCTTTTGCCTCGAATTTTGTTTGACTAACACCAGAGTTCTGGTGCTGCTCTTGCTCTGACAATCATGGCTACACCTTGTATTATGCAATATTACGCCAGTAAGACAATCAGTGACCTCCTTCATAATAGAAGAAAAATGTCCTTCTGGCCACCATGTGATTTTCAGACCTGGTCTTGTTTGAAATGTTTGTTGACCACAGGCTTTATGCTCTGTAGTTTTGGGGTAAAGGTATGCCAGTGCTCTTGCTATACTTTAATCTTGCCTTTTCATGGGGCTTTCCTTTTTTTCCATTTGTCTTATGGTAGACTAGATTTTTTTTCTAAAAAAAACAACAAAAAAAAAAGAGCGAACCAAAAGAAATATAATAAAAACAATTTTGCCTTAACGTGAACGTGTGATCTCCTGTTCCCTCTTTGCTGTGGAAATTAAAACTCAAGATCACAGACTAACTGGGTAGTGGGTAAACAACACAAAGCCCACAAGGCAGATGCTATCATTGTTCCGACGTATTAAAACAAGTACACCTCCCGGTGCATCTCCTCATGCGTTTCTTCTGTTAACGTGAATTAACAGAGATCAGATGCACTCCCAGGTATCGCGCAACATCTTGCTGTGAATCGAGGCTGCTGCGGGGAGCTTTGTTTCCAGCCATATGTGCTCTTATTCGGCTCGTCTGCTCCTTCTGGAGACTACAGAGCACCACGGCAACTTCGGCGAGGATGGAGTGAGTGCAATCTGTTAACTACAGGAAGCAAAGCGCCGAAAAGAGTTATTGAACAATCAGGCATGGTTCCCTCATTTGAGTGGGTGAAAAAGAGCATTAGCATTTTTAAACAAACAAAAAAAAAGGTCATGAAAGTACCCTCATACTGTTTCAAACCTGTTATTTAAAAAAAAAAAAAATTTGTGAAACACAAAAAGAAACATTCTTCACATTTTTATGTACAACCACAATTGTACATAAGTGATGACTTCATGACTTCATGTAATCATTTTTTTCCCGTCTGTCTTGTGGGCAAATAATCTTTAAACAACTAACACAGACTGTGAGAGGACCCATAACAGTTTTCACACCTGCAGCTCTGTGTGCTGGACTTGTGGTGAGGATAGAAATGATTCTGTGTGTGATTATTCACTGGTACGGGATTGGAGAGGCTTTCAATGTTATACAGTGGGTGTGTGTGTGTGTCTGCTGATGGAGCCATCTGGCAGCTGGGACATGCTGGAGCTCTTACCCGCAAGTCTACTATTCACACACAGCTGCAGATTACCCAGCACTGTGAACCCTACAGGCAACACTGAAAAATAAACCAATAACATCCAGAAAAACACAATACCAGAGCTGTTTAAAGGCAACTGTAGCCACAAGTATGGGCAAAGCAAAATGGCAACTGAAAGTGGTTGTTAAAACAATTCGCACAGTGTTAACCTGTCCTGTGAAAATGGGAAGATATTTTATCACACCACTAGAAATGTTACGTGAACTGGAGAAGATATAACAAATACATAGATATGAACTTTTTCGTTTCCAATGTCAAGTCTGTGTGTTTAAGTTTAAATAGAGGATAGAGGGAGACCAGTACAGCAAAAAATGTCTTAAGTTGGATTTATTTTGGAAGTCAATTTCTGTAAAAGGAACATACGTTAAAGTCTTTGTTACAAAAAAGCTACTGGATATTTCCACCTTTCCCCATAAGAAGAAGAGGAAAAAAAAATCTCCCCAATAGCCATGCTGTCACAATGGGAATGTGCCATTAAACAGCCAATTATAGGCTATTTAATTTTCAAGTAAAAATCATAAAGCAGTAACAGGTAATGTACAAAAGTTGTACAAAATGTTATAAAATAAAATATAAAACGTGGCATCTTGCCCTGACCTGACTTTTATAAAATAATCCTGTCCTGAAAGTTTAAAATCAAACAACTTTATAATAATTTAAAACCTACCTATGCTATACTGTGTTGTGTTAATGTATGTCAGTGTGATTTAGTTTTTATCATAGCAGTAAAATATGATGGAATTTTAATTCACAAAATTAATTATGACCATTTTAAATTAGATATTTTAAACTAACAAACAACAACACTGTTAGAGAAAATGCATCATCAAATTCAAAATCATGGTTACTGTACAGCCCTTGTGACAACTAGCCCTGGTCATCATTTCAGGGTTTTCACCATTTCAGTCACCTTTCACTCTTAAAAGTGGCAAATACATTTTTAAAGTACTAATACTCTTTGTAGTCTCACAGTTAATATGCAGTTATAACTGGAAATATAATAATTAGACAAATGTTCAAAATTAAGATGAAGTATAGCATGTCATGGTGCAGGAAACACATGTAGCTGTTTGACATGGCATGTTGTCTCCCTAGTATTACTCATCTCATGCAGCATTAAAAAAAAGACTAAACAGGACAGCTTGCGTTGATCAGTGTTTCACTGCTGAATGTCATAGGATCTATGATGAATCATAAACTTCTAAACCGAAATAACCCTTGTATAGTTTAAAAAAGGGTTTTCAAATTAAAGCTGAATTTCTAGACAGCTGTGGTTCACTAGCGTCAAACCGGGTCTTTACATCAACACAGCTGGACAAAATCAGCTCAAGGAACATTCTATTTTTAAAGCAAGACGACAAGTAGCTGGGGGCCAATGACATGCTTGAAGAGAGCGAGTGTTTATTGCATCACGGTGTCTCTAGTGAGGAGTGGCGGGGCGGCTGAGGGATGGCGGTCATTAGAAATGTGCCTCCAGTCAGGGGCTGCGCTAAGATTACTCACACACCAGGATGCTGAGACACACACACACACACACACACACACACTAAACAATGGTTTTGTTCTGTTACTGAACTAAGACTAATGACATCCACTGCAATTTTCGTCCTTTGTTCATCACTTTATATTTACATCAAATTTTTAAAGCAGCAGCAGTCTCACAGCAGGAATTTATAGAAGCTAAAAGCAATACTCTTACAGCTATTAAACTTCTCACCCTACATCCCTCAATTGCCTGAATTGACAAAATTCTTCCACTAACAAATGAAACAATAACTATAATTTTATATTTCCCAGGTCATAACCATAGAGTCAAGGTTTGGCTGATTATTATGGCCCCATTAGCCCCTGCTGGTGGATGCTATAACTACATCATCTGGCAGATCTTTCTCCATTGATAGCCATTCAAAAAGATCTGGCTATATAGATGTATGTACTGTATATTCCTAGCAACAATGAAATATATGGAAATAATTAGGCTATATTTAAATATTTAAGTAGATGTTTTGCAATCTAGTATAGATGTGTGAGATTTTTTTATTATTTAAATTGTTTAAATAATAAAACATATTTAAACACACACACACACACCAATATTTTTCATTAATAATATAGTGATCTAAAAAAAATCCTTAATATATACTGTATTCAAATCTTATGTCATGAAGCAAAAACTACGATTAAATAATTACAATACAGTATTCATAATTTAAATTTGATTAGACAGTTTTTTATTATTATTATTTATTTATTAGACTTGTTTTTTGTCTGATGAGTCCTACCATAGACATGGCACGCTTTGCGACAATTACTAACTGTTGGCGGTGGCTACTGAAATGAGCGTAGTGCCGTAAATAAATCCTATCTGTCGCACAATTCTTTTACAAAACAGCATTTTTTCGTATCAAACTCGACAAAAAAAATTCTATAAAATGATTATGTCATGGAAAACATGTTGAAAATTACCATCAAGTCAGTAAATGTATTATTTACATTTACATATTATGTGATGAACTATTTTACTGTACATAAAAACTGTTAATTCAGCGCGTTCAAACATCTCCGTTGTCACATTCAAACAGGTGTCCTGTTGACCGTTTAAAGATGGCGACACTGTTGATGTACCTGGAGCAGGTGGACGCGGCATTTACCTTTTGATATACATATGTTATGAGCCAACATGAGCAAAGAAGCCAGATTTTATATCGTGTTCATCGGAGGAGTCCTACACCAGCCGTAAAACTTCCAGCAAGATGAAGAGGAATGTCTAGGTATTGTAAATCTCCTTGCTTATATCACCTTAATATACAAGAATAGAGTCATATCCATACGGCACCACTGGAGGGCAGTAGTGACACACCTCAGTGAAATACATTAAACAAGCAATTTGCTCTCTCGGACATCGTGTATTGCATTAAAGCAGAAAGTCTGCCTGTAAAACACAGACTTTACACAGTAGCCTACACAGCACTCCACGTACACGAACCGGCGAGTTAAATGCTGGGAACTAAAACTTGGAGGTAAATTACAATGCACTTTTGATGTGCTAACAAAAGGAATTAATTCACATGCGTCTCCTTGCAGGGCTCTAGACTTACTGAATTTTCGTCCTCAGTCTCATGCAGTCAGTGTTGCTGCAGGCTCACTCTCAATCTTTCTGCGTCTAGGCAATGAAATACAAGCAGCTCAAATGAAAATAGGTTGTTTTAAATCTGAAATCGTTAGACACGTTTTAGTATGGATCTATCATCTAGTGCTATTCTATAGTTTATTCAATTTAAAGTCATGAATCACTTTTTTTTTTTTTTTTGTTCTTTGGTTTCCTACCTTAACAGGTTAATATGCATAAAATATATAAAATATGTTATTTGTCATAGCTGACATGTAAATACACCAGCGCAGGTATGTGTCTAGAAATGAAGACACAGGTATATGAATATGGCATATCATAAGGAACATTGTAAACAGCTTGGTTGAATTCACAATGACATTAATGAATTTATGCTTCTCTTGCTCTTTGTCTACTATTATTCTAAAAATGAAATTAATTATAATGTTGCTTAGAACATTTGGTGATTATCAAGAAAAGTTTATTATTATTATTAATTACGTTTATTTTTCTTCCTCATTTGATGATTTTTATAGTGCATTTTGTCCTTTTTTCACTGTATAGATCAGCGGTGGCGAACTCCAGTCCTGGAGAGCCGCAGCCCTGCAGAGTACAGCTCCAACCCTAATTAAAACTCACCTGACTGTAGCTTTCTAGTAACCCTTCAGACCTTGATTAGCTTGTTCAGGTGTGTTTAATTAGGGTTGAAGCAAAACTCTGCAGGGCTGCGGCTCTCCAGGACCGACGTTCGCCACCCCTGGTATAGATGAAAGAGGCTCAGACGTTGTTCCAGTCTTCTTTGTCATACAGGTTTTGAACAACATGAGTAGATTTGTATTGTTTGGCTATTAGGTTATATGAAGAACTACAGAATTAATTGTAATAATTTAATTTATAAAATTAAATAATTTAATAAATGGAATATTAATAATAATAATAATACATATGTAGCATTTATGTAACTGAAATTGTTAATATTGAATGAATTAAAATATTTTTGCAATTACTGATATTTTCCCCACTATACGATGGCTCTGTTAATGTTTGAGGTGACTTCCTCTTGCATCGCATCAAGATAAGTGCTGGTGTCTTAGATGATTTCAAGGTATTGTGATAAAAGAAACAGTATCCATTATAATAAGCTTTCTATGGGGTATTTTGAGTTTGTGCTTTGATCATTTACCTCAGGCTTCTAGAGAATTAGATCTTAGTATTGCAGAAGAAAGAAGTGTTTTGAGAAAAGATATGGCTGATGAAAATCACATTTATACAACTGACCATGGATGCGAAAGAGATAAACATCAAGGTGAGTTTTAACTTCCTCCATGGAATGCTTTGTGAGGTTGTTTGTCACAGATGTGGCATCTTTTTTTTTTCAAGATGAAAGCCCTGTGTTTTGCTCTTTTGTTAGTTTCTCAGAATAGATGCATTTTGTATGCTTTCAGTGTAATGTCTTTCAAGATTTTCCATATGATCATTTAAAATAATATACTGTGTCTGTCTGTCTTATTAGATCATATAGTGCAGTCATGTGTCTGGTCTTATTGGAGCTGAACTGGAAGAGCATAACGCTAATAATGTCAAGGTCATTGAGTTTGTCTTCCAAAGAAAACAAACAAAAAAATCTGAAGGCATACATTTAATTCACTCTTTAGGTCCCTTAGCACGTTTATGTGCAGCAGTAAATTAGTAGCAGACAATGAAACTTTTACCAGTTTTATTCAGAAGGAAGTTGCTGGAAAAACACAAAGGAACTTTAGATTACGTAAATGCAATTTATAGAGCACGCATTTGCTTGGATGAAAGAATTGATTGAAACAGTCCCAGACCTGCAATTATGGTGCAAGCAATGTCACTACTTAAATATAGCCATGTGATATGTTGTGTACAGTGCAGTTCGACACTGCATTACATTTACATAACAGCTTTTATAAAGGCTCATTTTCAAAGTTCTACAGGGACTTGCTTAAGCGTAAATACATTAAAAACAATATTTCATAATATAAACATGCAAATTACTGTAAATTTATTTATGTTAACCTGGTTTCTTATAATGCCTCTCATCCACTATAAACAAGACAAATAAAGGGTCCATAGAAATGGTCACCTACACTATTGTTTTGAAAGGTCTGCATGGAATATGTAACTACAGTAACTGACCATTTCCAAAGCACCTGTTTCTGTTCTACTTCCAGTATAACCATGTATATATATGTGTATATATATATATATATATGTATGTATGTATGTATGTATGTATGTATATTGACATGCAGTTGACATGAAATACTTTCTGTTTTAAACAATTAATTGTATAATAACTGTTTTTACAACCATATTAATTGAGAGACTAATGTGGTTTCAAATTAATATGGTCATAAAAATGGCATGCAAAATGCTGTTGAAAATAGTCTGAGATGGAACATTTTTGTATTAATAAAAATTCATTTGTAGTACCACATATTAAACTAACAAAGGCACAAAGGTGAAATTGTGGAAAAAATAGCACCTAAAATATAAAATTTCCCCGTTTTTATATACAGTTTAACCTATAATCTTGATGTTGATTGTTATCCATCAACTACCCATATATAATATAAAACAATAATGTTGACAGTGACATGGTCACCGAGGATGAGCTAATGTTTTGCCTTATTTTAAGCGATTTTTTTTCACACAAAGAATGGAAAAAGTTTTGAGCGTATATGTGACATTTCGTACAAATGAAGCTGGGCTACACGCACCCCTGAGCAGGATAGCACCATTGGTTCCCTCCGGTATACCTTCAAATTCGTCCCAGCATTCTTGCTATCCACCAGTTGCAGGGCATGACAATCTGACAGATGACCCGTCCTCCCTGGTAATAGTAGGGATACGGCCAAAAGCCGCCCAGGGGCTCGTAGTATCGCCGACAGTAACGGTACCCCCGACGACAGTGCTGGCAGCAGTAGCCCTGCTCATCTAGGCTGTTGTCCAGCTCCAGCCCGATTTCTCTCTGCAAAGAGAGTGAGTCAACAGGGTCAGAACTGCAGCCAAACAATACCTGCAATCTCAGCACAGGGCGCATGTCTGATGGCTTGATGTTAGCAATAAAAAGGTGCAGTGTTCTGAAGGGGGAATGAAGAGTGATTATGGGTTGTAGACAAGCAATGGCAAAAAACCCTGTCATGCTCAGATATGTCACAAGGATCAGAGTGGCATTTAACGTAGATGGTTTTGATATGACAAGCCAGGGTATCAGATATGATATAATGCCCTTGACCTTTCCATTAGCCGCTGGTGGCATCGCTTGGCTTTAACATCTCTGATTCAAGTCCCTTAACCCCGTTGCCTGTTCTTTCTCAGTCACAGCGAGTTTGACACTGGCAGCCACTGAGATAATTACACTATTTCTTTCATCCCAGCCCTCCCACTCCCTTAAAAGCGTATCATTGGAGCCTCAGTCCGAGCAGCGACCCCGGCCTCATTTCAGCTCAGAAATGAGAACCCTCCCCCATGCACTTTCATGCCCTCCTTTGACTTTGGCATAAAGCGAATGGCACGTTCATACAGCAATTAGCAGTGTAATGATCGCCCAACAAGGATCGGTTTATTTGCTCTCGCAGGCAGGGTGTGAATTGGTGTAAGGGCTAAATGAAAGTGGAGTGAAAGGTAAATTGGGTAGAATTAATGGCTCTTGGCCCTCTCCATTGTGATCGTGTATGTGTGCCCTTCTCCAGATTACCCAGGGCTGAGTGCCATGCCTTTGATCAGTCACTACCATGAGATGGGTTCCGAGAAGTGCCACTTAACTTTCTATCTCCCGTAACTGTTGGAGCACATAGCACCCTCGACTCGCACTGTTTCATTTGACTGCATTTCGGTCTCCCCAAGCTTACGACGCAGACAATATGACATTATCCGTCTGATTAAAAACACTGTCATGGAACTAGTCATCTCTGCTGATCTGCATTAGATTGGCAGATGAAGCCGTATCTCTCCAAGCTGTCTGGCAACGTTTCAGACTTCCTGTTGGGAAATGACGCAAATGAACGTGAGGGGAGAAAATCGCTTTGAAATGTGTTGCCAGGATGAAAATGGCATTTAAGAACGGTCATTTGTGGTTGTGAATTGTGTTTATATAGCATAAACAGGTATATTATTATCATTATTGATCTTTTTGGGTTTGAGATGAAACGCAGTGAATTATAATGTGCCTGTGCGTGTGAAGATGCATAATGACATGCATTTCTCCTCTGGAGTCCCATCTCTCATTATGTTCTCCATAAACGAGGCATGTATGAGTTTTCATGAGCTCACTATGCAATGATGAATGGAGTGAAAATTGCATTCTCCTAATGATTAGACTAGTGCAAGAGAAAGCAGGGTGATGCTTGTAGTCTTTGATTTATTACTCTCACAAATGCACAAAGACAATTACTGATTCATAATGTTTGCCAGGTTTAGGGTCAAGAGTGTTGAGACAACAATTTATTTTGGAAACAGCACAAAGCCTGTCAGTGTAGCACTGTTTGCTTTATCAGACTTTCACAGAAAAGCCCCCTGCCAGCATGAAAGGTGGATGTTATTTGGAAAAATAAGAGTTTTTTTTTTTTTTTTCGAGGGAAATGATGTGTGATTAGGATAAAACAAAAAGACTATGAATGGTATTGTTCCGCGGAGGTATATTAATCAAACTGATTATCCTGCTGCAATGAGAAAGTGAGTGTTAATAACTTCATGTTTGAGACTTTATATGTCAGTGAGAAGAAGTGAAGTACTCTGGGACATGATGTCAGTCATGCATAAACTAGTAAGAGTAATTAAGAACAGGTGCTTATAGCTTACAGTAGAGTTTTATATTAGCCTTACAAAGCCTGTCATGTTCTCGGTTATGTTTAGTGTTACAGCCTGTAAAGCGTGATGTAGTAGCATTTAATGTGAGGAAACACGAAAACTCATTTATTATGGCGTGGCACATCATAGAGTTGATTCTCAGCTTGACACCCTGTGGATTTACTTCATAAACCACAATTACTGAGGGGATAAATTATTTTAAACTTCACAATATCTTGATGCTAATCAAGACGCTAGAGAAACACTGTTTCCCAAAAGAGTCTTATTGATTATAAATACATTTTGAGTAAATTTCTTCATGCATCAAATTATTAACTTTTCTTTCAGGACTGTCAAAGTTAACTCATTACTGTCTCAAACATAATTAAATATGTTTAACACAATCTTTGTTTATTTATTTGAGTGCATTTTATTTAGTTTGACATTATACATGCTTCATTTTGTTTTGTTCTAAAAACTGATTGGGACATCTGGAGCAGATTGGAATGGATCGGAGTGCACACAAACACAAAAACGTCTCTTGTGGAGGATCTGTTTATCAGTAAATGATGGAGAAAGACCCCTTTTACAGTTTACTTATGAATCAAATCTAGATATCCTGTTTACAACAAAAGTAAAGCATTTGCATTCATTGTATGGTAGAATTTAATTAACGTTGAAGCTGAACATTCATCAAAAATTGTGGAGGAATGCTTGTAAGATTATGCCTCAAGTGTGAAGAAAGTTGTTTTATTAAATTATTGCAGATTTGCATTTCCTGTGTGTTTTGATATTCACCATTGTTCAAAAGTTTGGGGTCAGTAAGATTTAAAAAAATATATATATTTTTTAAGATTTTAATTAATACTGTATTCAGCAATGTTGACATTTATAATGTTACAAAAGATTTATATTTCAAACCAATGCTGTTCTTTATATTATATAAATGCTGTTCTTTATTTGCTGTACTTTATATTTGTCAAAGAGTGCATCATGGTTGCCACAGAAATATTAAGCAGCACAACAGTTTTCAACATTGATATTAATTTAGAATATTCTAATAGAATCATTTCTGAAGGATCATGTGACACTGTAGACTGGAGTAATGACTTTGCCATCACAGGAATGAATTCCACTTTAAATAGATGTTAAATTAGAAAACTTATTTTAAATTGTAGTAATATTCCACAATATTACTGTATTTTTGTTGTTTTTTTGATCAAATAAATTCATCCTTGGCAAGCATGAGACTTACCGCTGCCAAACTTTTGAATGGTAATGTAGTTATAGAATAATATAGGATGTGTTTTTTTTATATATATATGCATGTAGAGCACTTATTTTTGGCATCCACAAAAATTGCTGAACCTATTCATTACACGTATGCCTGTTATTTAATTTTATAACTACTGTACGTGTTATAATGTTAATTTTAAAGTGTTTGTTTTAAATTACAGATTTAAAAAGACACTTGAAACTAAGCATTTGTTTCATTTTAGTATCCTAAGTTTAAAGTGAATTCATCTTCATTGGGTCCTTGACTGGACAGTGCAACTTAAGTTCAGACAGACTCGGGGAGGCAGGTTCAATCAGCGATCTGCAAGCCAGAATGCTTTCAGCTAGGATGTGGGGTCACGATTCCTACCATCAACAACTGTGGCAGGCACACAAGTCTGAGATTCGACTGGACCCAATCATCAGAGTCGTATCCTCCCAATGTAGGTCAAGGACCATGATGCAATTTCTCAGCACAGCCAGATGATAGTTATTCAGTTTGAAAGATATCCAGAGCTGTGCTGGCACGCAACGCATCAGCGTGGCAGGACTGGGGAAAGGTCAGCCTCCTATATCTCAGGCCTTCTGTCACAGGAACTGATGATTATTTATAAAAAGTGCACAACAGGAAGAGACCTGTAGCAAAATATGAATTCCCTCCTCCAGCTGCAGACTTCTGCCGGTGGGAGAGCTAAAAAAGGGCTTGCGTCTAGGATCCTCTGAAAGGTCTGGGATATCTGGCTTCCCAGCAGCATCTACATGACTCCAGACTCCAATTACCGGGAGCCACATCCCCTCTGACGTTCACTAAAGCCGTTGTTATCGCTCTGCCCACAAACACAGCCCGCCTGTGCTTAGCCTTGGAATTGGCTGGATTGGTGTGTATTAACCAGCTGATAGAAGGAGAGGATTTCAAAAGGGAAAGGTGGTTTCATCTGGGTCTGCTTTAATTATACAGTACGTTGCAGTCCGTGTTGCTGGATGAGGTGCGCAGGCAAGACGTTCCTGGGTCTCTGCAGATAAATGTGCCTTTTTTCCCACCACCCCATAGTTCTTTCTTTTCTCAGTCTTCTCATCCTTGTGCTTGGAGGCTAGAAGTCACATGCTAGTTGGGGAGGTGTATATCGTAGGTGTGCGAAGCATTAGTGCATCAATTCATCATTGAACATATGCTTCACTTCATGAACGCAATAAAGGACACTCTTTGGCTGCTTGATTCTCCATGCTTTGATAATTAAAGCATGATTAATACATTTAACTATTCATTAATGAGTGACCTTGGGAGACTGTCTTTGAACATCACTAACTACATAAGAGAGGCAAGGAAAAATTGTGCAAGGCAAACTTGCTTCCTTTGAAGGCTAAGTATCCCTCTCCATTAGCTGTAAGACATTAAGGGAGTCTTAAGTGAACTGGCCTGATTTAAGCAGATATATAGAGCAATTTCAATACCCTGTGGTCCACATGGTCTGTTTTAAGTTCGGAAAGGGAACTTCGATTAATGAACGATTTATACCAAGAAAGAGAGCATGACTATCTGGCTCAACCGCAGTTTGAACATGTCTTTTAGTAATACCCTCAGGTTTTTTAGCAGTACCACTTACATAGTCGTTTACTGGTAACTGGTCCATGACGTCCCGGGTCTGACGTGGACCTCTCGCCTCCAGCTCTGGGGTCTCCTCCACATCTTCTACGTCGTGGAATTCAGCATCTGTATCACAGAAGGAAAGACAGTAACGCTAAAAACTTGCTACTAAAAAATTGATATCATGAAAGGCTTCTTTGATCTTCCTTAAAGTATTAGTTCAATTCCAGAATAAACATTTCCTGATAATGTCATCCAAGATGTTCATGTCTTTCTGTCTTCAGTCGCAAAGAAATTAAGGTTTTTGAGGAAAACATTCCAGGATTTTTCTCCGTATAATGGACTTAAATGATGGCCAAGGGGTTGAAGGTCCAGTTTCAATGCAGCTTCAAAGGGCTCTACACGATCCCAGCTGAGTAATAAGGGTCTTATCTAGCGAATCGATTGGTCATTTTCTAAAATAAAAAGAAAAATGTAAATACTTTTTAACCACAAATGCACGTCTTGCACTAGCTCCCCGATGCGCATCCGCAAATTCACGCATTACGTAATCATGTTGGAAAGGTTACGCACGGTTAGCTCTTTGTCTGTGTACTCTGGTTCAAAAATACCTTTTTGAAGGGTAGAGCTAAAATCTAATTTTCTCCTCAAACTTCAAAATCTTCTGACATCGTTGTTTTACATGTTTTTGTAAAGGGCATTTGACTTTCTTAGCATGTTCATTTTGTAAACACTGGGTCGTTATGTCCACCTAAGTCATGCGTGACCTTTCCAACGTGACTATGTAATGCATAAAGTCAAGCTAGTGCAAGATGAGCATTTGTGGTTAAAAAGTATATACATTTTAAAAAAAAATTTTTTTTTTAAGAAAGTGACATCTTTTTGCTAGATAATAAGACCCTTATTACTCAGCTGGGATCGTGTAGTGGCCTTTAAAGCTGCATTGAAACTGGAATGTTTTCCTCAAAAACCTTTATTTCTTTGCGATTGAAGAAAGAAAGACATGAAGATCTTGGATGACATGGGGGTGAGTAAATTACCAGGAAATATTTATTCTGGAAGTTAACTAATCCTTGAAGAACATAAAACCCTCCAGTACTATAATGCCCTCATTTGGAAAAAGTTGGTTTGTGGCAAAAATGTTCTTTAAACATGGTGTATTGTGTCCTTGATTAGTTAATCAGTGATTGCTTAGAACATTGCTAGAGCATAAACCATGAAATTCAGTGTTTTAATTATTTTTTTTTGCCTTCCTATTGAAGGGAATTACAAGCAAACAGTGGAGAGCAAAATAAATTACAGACTTGACTCTTAGGCTATTCTGAAACCTTATTACTAGGGTTGAATTGGATTTCGAGGCGGTGAAGCCCTGTTTGTAACCTCTGAGAGGAGATGGGTGGATCCAGTGGATGGGCAGATCTTGGCAAATCTCCCAGATCTTGGAATTCAACAGGAACGTTTTGTTGGCGATTGGGTCTTCAGCAGGGATCCATATCTGAGAGTCCATCATCTGCATATCAACTTCACCAGTCTCACTCACCTGTGAAAAGAATATACATTTTAATGCCTACACAAATGTAATGCCTAATTGCCAATATTTCTAATAACAGTCAATCACAGCTATTTAAAATAGTATATGATATATCATTATATAATAATAAACATTACATTTTAGTATATTAAAAAAGAGAAATGAGTTCCATAATTTTTTCAATACTTGGATGGTATCGATATCGATTCCCCAAGATTTAAATATGTGCTAAATCTTCTCACAGTTTCCATACACTGCATTGCACCAGAGGTCAGATGGCCACTGAAGCTAAATTTGAAAGTGTTCATGCATGCTTTTATTACGCATTGTTTTAATGATACCTGAGGATAAAAAATAAGTTGTTATAGCCGTTCAACAAATTGCTTAACTGCAAATTATCAGACTTCTGTTTTTTAATTACAATTATACAATCAGTTTCAACGTTTAATCTGAATCATTAAACAATCATCACACAAACCCATTATAAATGACATTTACGCTTTAATGTGAATGATGTGTCTTTGTCACAGTCTCTGGTTAGCACTGCAGTCTCTGTTTAAATGGACATGAGTGAAGTGTCAGCAGTTTGAGCAGTTTACGACTAGCTCCTTGTGTCTTTCAACAGTTCTGTGTATGGTAAGATGAGAAATAAATCATATCTTACACAACTTGCTAACACAGTTCATATTTTCACTTCAAAGCCTATTTTATGCATTGATTTTTTTTCGTGAAAAAAAAAAAAAAAACTACTAGTTTAACAAAACACTTAGGATCAATATTTGTATGTGGGGATCAAGGGGAAAGTATCAATACTTCAGTTGTGCTTTCAGAAGCTCATTTGGTTTGATTGAAACTGACCCAATTCTTTCCGTACCCTCCAAACACATTTCTGTTTGTCAGTTTATTGCACATGCAGGCATCCTAGGTCTCCTTTCCACAGTCCAAACAAGATAAAGCTGGAGTCTTTGTTTAATGTTGTTGCCTTGGATCATTTCACTCTTACTCTGCAGGGAGCAGAGAACTAACTGCTGACCATGGCTAACATATTTAATTTGACCTATCTTAAAGACCATAGCTGTACATTCTTGTGAAACACACTTATTTCTTCCCTAGCTGAGAAAAAAATGCCCTTTTCTGCAGGCACTGGTGGTGTTGCATTTTAATTTGTACAGCAATAGGAGTACAAAAATATATCTGACTTTAAGATGACTTTAAAGTCTGTCTGCTGTGTTGGACTAAGGAAGGACTGACGTGTTATTCAATCCTCTTGACATATTAAAGTAGACTGTGGTGCATCCACCCCATCACCCATTATACAACTAATTATACAACTGATAATAGTGTACTTAATTTGTTAGTTCTGCAGTTCATGAGCTGTTAAGTAAATTATTATTGCTTGATAGCGACTGTATGTCAGTTTCATCTAATTGAGATCTAGAAAGCATCTTTGGGCAATGTAATCACATATGAGGTATATGTTTGTTGTGCTTGTAGTTATGTGTAAATAGAAGTACAAACAAACTCTGCTACATTCCCTTGTTAATTAGTGCAGAGACCAGAGAAACGGCTCACATGACAAATATTTTTATAAGGTGATTTTCTCCCAGTCTAAAGCTTAATTGCACATTAGTTGAGCTTGATGTAGAATCCTGAGGCTATTTTCTGAGCTACTATCATTTAAATTAGATTAACCTCTTTCTCTTCCATTTGCTCTCCCTCTCAGCCCTCTTTTTTTCATCCCACTGCTCTTGTTTTATTAGAAGTCAATTTCGGTGCCTTTTCTTGTTTGTTGGGAAGTGACACAGCACTGACCTGAAGCGGTTCCAGTTCCGCCTGATTAAAAGCTTCACTCTTTGCGCCTTTGAGATCGTTTCTTTGCTCCAGCCCCATTTTCCTCAAATCACGCTAAACTAATGATGACTAGGAGGACAGCCTGCATGACTCAAGCGGTGAAGGATGCTGTTTTAGCCTAAAATTAAAACAAGGGCCAGCAGTGCAAGTAGACTGCTTAAATTGGCCATCTTGACAGCTCAAGCAAAGTGTGACTTTCATACGAGTAAACAAAGGTTAGGGCACTGATCCTACAACATTTTATCACATTTTTTGAGAAATTAGCCAGATAAGTTTGGGTGGGTTCTCTTGAGACATCTAAAGGTTGTGGAAGAGACACTGAAGGGAAAAGAGCAAAGCTGAGTTATGTCTTGACCAAGGAGTCATGGTTTGGCTGGTTAGCATGGCCCAGTTAGTATGACCCCTGCTGGTCAATGCTGAAATTACACCATTAAAATGCCTCTTTTCTTCATTGATGGCCATACTTTAACCAAGCATATATATATATATATAAAATTAACTATATATTAAATATTGAATTTAATTATATTATATTAGTTTTTATAGAGTGTAGTCAGGACATAATTTTTTTCTTCTGTGGTTTCAAAGTAATCATGGTATCTAAGTAATCGCATGGTATCTACAGTACCAAGAGTTTGGGGTCAGTAAGATTTTTAAAAGCTTTTTTAAGAAGCCTCTTAGGCTCACCAAGGATGCATTTATTTGAACAAAAATACAGTAAAAACAGTAATATTGTGAAATGTTGTTACAATTTTAAATAAGTTTTCTATTGGATATATTTTAAAATATATTTTATTTCTGTGATGCAAAGCTGAATTTTCAGCACCCATTACTCCAATATTTAGTGACACATGATACTTCAGAAATCATTCTAATATGCTGATTTGATGCTCAATATTTGACATAAATATTTTGTTACATTATAAATGACTTTAATTAATTTTTAACTGATTTAATTTATCCTTTCCGAATAAAAGTATTAATTTCTTGAAAAAAAAAAAAAGTTTACTGAACAGCAGTGTATGCCTCAGGTGACTGGCTCAAAACAGTTGTGTCCAGAACTGAATACCTATGAGTAAAATGTAGAATTCAAAGCACGTTCTTCCAAAGGGATGCCTTAGAGATGAATAGGAATGCTAACAGATATCTTTCTTTGGGCTAGTCTGGTTTTTTTTAATGCCTTAATGGATCCAAGAATTTTAATGCCAAATATGATGATTCACTTGCGATGATGGCTCTTTCTAAAATATACAACAGCTGTGTTGTCTTCTCTTGAAAATGTTTTACATTTTAAGGAGAGATTAACACTTCTAAAACAGTTTTTTCTTAATGTTAAAAACTAGGGCTGTGGAAATAAAATATTCACAGATCAGTCTTTTGTTTTAAAAAGCAGAATGATACTGTAAAAATTTGAAAGTATATATATTTTTAAAGCATATCTTTTCCACTAACTCCCTTGCATCCTGTACCTTAGTTTGAAACCCCTTGGACTAGGCAAAATAATTGTATAATAAATAAGAATATTTTACACTAATGCAATTAATTCCTGACTACATGTAAACCTCTTTAGTATAAATAGCAATGGCAAAAGTTGAAAAGAGGTAGTACCAAATTTATCCTCAGACTCAAGGACTGTGCGGGAAGACAGGCCGCGATTTCATCGGAGACATTTGGGCAGTTGCAGACCAGTGGGAAGTTCAGGGATTACCGCTTTCATCATTTCCCAGACTGAATAAATTGAAAATGGTAAACAAACTGGCAGCATACAGTTTATGCTTGTCACCTGGTTGTGCTCGCAGGCTGCTTTATTTCCTTATCAGTGGCATGCAGTTTCTTCTCAGCCAGCATTGTTTTGTGGTGAAGCGTGTTAAGGCAGCTTGCTCTGGGACCACGGTCACATGCCCTGCGGCTCAGCTGCACTTGGAGCTAATAATGTGGATTTTTAACCTCTACTTCCTTTACATGCTCACAACCTTGGAAAGAATGGCCTGCTTCTCTCTCTCTTGCTCTCTCTATCGTCCACACGCAAGCAGTCTTTGGTTTCAATAGCATCCTGATTTATCTCAGGCCTCCATGCTGGTATGTATATAATCAAAGATTTAGAGAAATGCAAGATTGTAAATTGGCAGTTAGCAAGCCTAAATAATTCTGTAACCTTCATGTGAAGCTCACAGCTTGTATTTTTTAGCATTTTACACTCTTTAGTCTGTTTATCCAATAAATGAGAGATCATTTGTGTGAATGTTCTCCTGGTTAGCTGCGTCTTTACGGTAGGAACAGCTTGCTCCATCTTGCACCATGTGTCCCTGTCTCCCCTCGAGAACCAGGCGCATCGCTCTCTCTTTCCGTCTACCCTCTCTTTCTAGCCCCACTGCTTCAGCCCTGGCCAACTCTGATTGATTTCGCATCTGTGAAACAAAGCTTAGCCGAAAAATCTAATTAGGTTTCACAATTTAGCAAAAAAAGGGAGAAATGGCAGCGACATATGGCGTTTGCTTCGCAATTAGTATCTGTAAACATGGATTAGACATTAAAACGATGAGGGAGAGAACATGCAGGCTGTTTCTGCCTATAATACCTTCTGTTCCAAAAGTCAAAGAGGATGTCTGGGAACTTGAGACAACAATAGATCACTGTGTTTTTAATACAAATCGGAGAGGCACGACACTTTGCTTGCACTCCCCCATTTCGATATGAACTGCCACGGAAAGAGAGTTTAGCGCTTTCGAAACCGCCTGCCATTCTCCATGACACCCATAAATTGGATGCTTGATTGATAGAATTTCACCCATCACTCTTGCCGAGCATCACAGACAGCCATTAGAGCAGGAGAACAGAGATGAATCACTTCAGCCCTGAGTCAAGTGAAATTTACGGAGCAAACATCTTCAAATACCATTTTAATGGCTTACCTTTCCCAAGGACCCCTCTCTCTCTCTCCTTAAGGCTATTTGGGCTGAGGCTTCAGAGGAGATGATTAAAAATTAATATTAGTTCAGGATTGACAGCAAACACCATTTGATGTGTTCCACAAAGGGGTTATGGGATTGTGGACTTTCGGATGGATTCACGGCCACAGGAGACCCAAGTTTATATTTTTGTGGAAAATGCTGGAGGGGATGTTGAGATGTTGTAGGTGGGTTGGGGAGTTGGCGTGGGTTTGCTGGTTAGTTGGATTGCAGATAAATGGTGATGGTTGAAGCAAGTTTCATTTTTCACAGTCTGATGAACTCTGTTGCAAAATTCATGATGTTTTTTTTCATCCTGTTTAAAGGAAGCAGATTGCTGAAAGATGTATTTGATGAGATTAAAATACCTCTATGTCAATGGTCTTTGAGTCCAGCTTGGGCAGCTCCTTGGTTTGAGCCCTGATGTAGCATCTCAGGTGCTTGGCAAAACGAATGCCTGTGATGCCCTTGAAAGACATATATGTTAATGAGATTGACTGTTTATTCCATGATTTGAGAAAAAAAAAAAAATCAGCATTCGACCTCAAATACTCTCACAAAAACACCCAAAGCCTTTTCAGTGCAGCACAGATATAGCGAATGTTATATAACTAAAGCAACGGGAATCATTTTCTAGCCAATTCAAGATTATTGGTCTACAGCCCCAGCCAGTAGAGAGGTATACCGCCGAAGCCATGATTATATGTAGGCAAAGCCCATTGATTTGCAGCACTTATGGTCTGTGTTGCGAAGCTAATCTGTTTGGTGAAGTGAGGAGCTTTTTTCCTGAAAGCCACAGCTGATGGTCTGCCATACAGAATTTGTTGCTTTACACTTGAAAAGAGAAAAACACATTTTAGCAGGAGCATCTGAAGAAAGTTCTTTACTGTCTGAAAGCAGTCTTCGAAGGGGAATAAAGGCTATCGTGTTACAGACTCTTCACGCGGAAGGATAAAAACAATATCTCCTTGCATTCGGGAATACATTAAGTAATCCACAGCTGCTCTCGTATTGCTGTTGTAGCATAAGGAAAGTGAGAGTGAGTAGTATACTGTCGGAGCTGAATTATTTCTGCAGTATTAAAGGAAGCATCATAAATTCATGTGTTCTGTGCTCTTATAAACACTGTTAGACTGCATACTAACAAATTTGTCATTTTCACCTAAGCTCACCGGTTAGTAAAGAAACGGTTATGAGAGGAGTGAAAAGTGCATTGTTTGTGCTGAAAATCATTGACAAATTGCTTTTCAATTTCTGGTAATGGTTTGCTTTTGCACGCAAGAAGGAACTATCTTCTGATGAAATGCATTTATTGCTGAGCCTGGTCAACTGGAAAATGGAGAGACTCTTCAATACAGGGATAACAAATTGGAAAAGAATGTCATTTAAGAAAGAGTGTTGAAGTACAGCTTCGCCATTAGCCAGATTAAATGTGTGCATGGTCTGAGACAATTATTCGAATGGAAGCACTGAATGATGCAATTGGCAGAGAGGGCAAAGGAGCTCTGCTCCAATAATTGGCACATTACTTGTATGTAGATGCCCACACCTGTTTCCACCAGTTATTGGTTTGAGAGACAACAAATACTGCTTCCTGGATGCAGGTGAAGTCAAGGGCTGGCGCTAAACCGAATTAGCACTGAGGAATCGCTCTTAACAACATTACTAGATCTAAGATCAGACTTAATCTGTGTCTGGGAAACTGACCCTGGCAGTATACTGTTTCTGTATTAGGATGTTAGAAACGGACTTTGACTTTGTTAAGAAATTCTCCCTGCATCTTTACCGACCTCTTGTATTATCAAATGGGCGGTAAGATAGCTCATCTTGTCTTCCTGTAGGACAAACTAATCATTGTTGTTCTCTACACTGATGGACAGAGACAGTGATTATTGGCAAAATCATTTAAAGCCTTGCTCTTAGCCACTTTTGTAACTGGTTTTTACAAGACTACAACGACTGGAGAAAAATGTGCCATTTGTACATTAGGAAACCCTTTTGTTTCTAGCTCTTTTGCACTTTGCTACATTTAAAAAAATAATCTAAGTCACACTGACAAAGTCAAAGTTATAAGAAACAAAATTGTGCAATTGTGAGATACAGAGTCGCAAATGCACAAGCAACCATTCACTCTAAAAAATGCTGGGTTGTTTCAACCCAACGTTGAGTCAAATATGGACTAACCCAGCTGTTGGGTTAAATTTTTAAATTAAAGTTTTAACCCAAAAGTTGGGTTAGTCCATATTTGACCCAAAGTTGGGTTGAAACAACCCAGCATTTTTTTGAGTGTTCAAACGTTTATGGGTCTGTAAGATATTTAATTGTTGAAAGAATATTTTGGTGCTCAAGAAACATTTCTTATTATCAAAGTTAATAATAGTCGTGCTGCTTAATATTTTTGTGGAAACCTTGATACTTTAGAATTTTTTAAAGGGCTCCTATTATTACCCTTTTTACAAGATGTAAGTCTCAGGTGTCCACAGAATGTGTCTGTGAAATTTCAGCTCAAAATACCCCACAGATCATTTATTATACCATTTTGAAAATGCCCATTTTGAGTGGAAGCAAAAACATGCTGTTTTGGTGCATATATCTTTAAATGCAAATGAGCTGCTGTTCCCTGTCCACTTTTCCAGAATAGGGCTGTGCCTTTACAGCTTGTACTTTGGATACTCTGCCAAAACAAAACATTTGTTTGGTTTTGATTATCATGTCTATATCATATCAGTTTAAACTTCTGATATAGGGTTTTCTGAGCACACACATCCGAAGCATGTGCACAGAAAGCATCTGTCACACGACATGAGTGCTAAACTAAGTTGTCTTTCATGTCTTATTGCGCTTGCACAGTCAAATACACACAAGGTTATGTCAAAAACACACATGATTTACATAAACATAGTCGGTTATGTCTGTGAATGTAAACAGCTGGGAAAGAAATGTCTGTTTATATTAGATCTGTATATTAAGTGACAGAAGCGTGATATACAGTACCTACTGCTACATATGCTGTTAATATGAGCCAAACAATAAAATAAAAATCACTCACTACTCTTGGCTGAATAACTTCTGTAGCTTTAAAAGAAAAAAATTCTTAAATACTGCTTTTAAATGCTCTAGCGTGAAGATAAACATGGCAGATTGTGTGTTTATGTGCTCGTCAACAGTTGTGGGCAGGGCCTGTAAAATGTGACGTCACTTTGTATAGATTCTGCGAACAGCTTGTACTGAGACACTGCTTATGATTTATAGGGATAAAAAAAAGGAGTGGGTGGATTTTTATCATTAAAGGGGAGTTGTGTACACACACTGCTATCACACATTTATGCCCAAACACCATGGAAAAGTGAATTTTGCATAATAAACAGCATTTATTGAAATAGAATGTTTTGTGGCAATGCAGGTCTTCACTGTGACTTTTGATGAATTTAATGCAACATTGTAGAATAAAATTATTAATTTAAAAATAATATTAATAATAATTGATTAAAAAAATCTTAAAGACCCCAAACTTTTGAGTGATATGCTATGATACATGCAGTATATGCAGTGATTCCTGGACAATAAATAAATAAATAAATGCAATGGAAAAACTGGTACTCTACCTTGTATTGCAGTAAAAAAAATATTACTGGAATATTTCTTTTCCTCATGCTGAAGGACATTTAATGTTTGTTTTTTTTGTTTGTTCATAACAGTCTATGCGATGTGTCTCCTTGGCTTTCCCTATAAGCTGCTGTGGAATTCTCATTATTAATTTTGAAGTTTCTGGAGGACACTCAGAGTACTTGTCTAAAACAGTAGAGGAAGGATTTTGCTTGTGTTTCTGTTGGCATTACCACTGCATTTCCATTCATGGGCTGTAGCCTTCAGGCTCTGTGGAGATGGTTTGTAGTGTTAGTGTGTGTAATGACTTGCAACATCCCTCCTTCACAAAAATCAATTCCAAAGTCTGCCCTGAGCCAGAAGTTGCAAGAAGTGCCGAAGAGGGCTCGGTGCTCGAACTCCCTTTTCATTTATATCAACATGTGATATGAATGATTTTACCTATTCACTTGTTTTCTGGTTTCCCATGGCAATGCCTTGAATGAAACTAATCTCTTTTGTGGCTTTGCTTCACTGACCATAGTAATTTAGAAAGAAGATGGGGCCAGCAACAAGTGTGTCTGAATGCTGATGCGAGATGTCATCGCTGCCAGTTTGCTTTTGCTTAGCACAGTGCTTTTCAAAGAGATTCAATATCATCAGTCTGAGAGAAAAAGTAAAACGCTCTGTCTGTATTTTGACATCAGTTCCTAGGCTGAGACTCGGATTGCAGGAATATGAGCTGAATCTATCACATCACAATGAAAATATTTCACATGTATGTCATAAACCCTTACATTTTTGAAGTCATGCACCTCTAGGACCTCATTAGTGCCGTTTCCCATCCTGAAAATCTCTATGCGTTGTGCTGGATAGATTTCCATCATGCTCTCAGTCTCCAGTCCATCCAGTACGGCTTTATACTGATGATCATATACCTGTTCGGACACATACAACCCAACATAACAAATTAAAAACACAGTGCTACTAGAATATCCTGGATTTTACCTATTCACTTGTTTTCTGGTTTCCCATGGCAATGCCTTGAATGAAACTAATCTCTTTTGTGGCTTTGCTTCACTGACCATAGTAATTTAGAAAGAAGATGGGGCCAGCAACAAGTGTGTCTGAATGCTGATGCGAGATGTCATCGCTGCCAGTTTGCTTTTGCTTAGCACAGTGCTTTTCAAAGAGATTCAATATCATCAGTCTGAGAGAAAAAGTAAAACGCTCTGTCTGTATTTTGACATCAGTTCCTAGGCTGAGACTCGGATTGCAGGAATATGAGCTGAATCTATCACATCACAATGAAAATATTTCACATGTATGTCATAAACCCTTACATTTTTGAAGTCATGCACCTCTAGGACCTCATTAGTGCCGTTTCCCATCCTGAAAATCTCGATGCGTTGTGCTGGATAGATTTCCATCATGCTCTCAGTCTCCAGTCCATCCAGTACGGCTTTATACTGATGATCATATACCTGTTCGGACACATACAACCCAACATACCAAATTAAAAACAAAGTGCCACTATCCGATCTGCAGCAATAGCATGTCCCATTTAAAATTGACTGGATTTCACTGCATGAGATAAAATATCAAGTGGAATCTGAAAGCTAAATTTAAAACTAAATTACTTTTCTGAGACTTTTTTTTTTAAATGATTTGTAGTCAACTGGTAATTTTTAGTGGATGTATGAAGTTAGTTCCCCTCAAGTACACACTGGTATACTAGCAGAATAACTACATTTGCAGTTCATCACATTAACTATGAACATGTTACACCAATGTTTGAAAGTAACTAGTGTGTATTATTAATACTTTAATAATTAACAATAAAAAATGTGACTTCTTGTTTTAAATGTGTCTTTTTAACATCATACCTGTCATTGAAGCTCTTAAGAAACCTTTTGTGAAACGTTTTGCTTAAAATAATTGTCATTTGTTTTGCTATTTTTATTATACTGTATAATGCAGTGCCATTCACACTTTTTAAGTGTCCAAAAGATGATGCTGGATCTAGGAACACCGATCCAGTGCTTATCGCCTCTTAATTGCTTCTCAAAAGAAGATATTTTGAAAAAAAAAAATTCATTGTATGAAGAAAGAAGAAAGTAAGTCAAACAGGTTTGGAACGACATGACATCATTCTGTAAATGATGACTAAGTTTTTTTTTTTTTGGTGAACTATCCCATTAATATGAACACACTTTATGAAACTGTCTTGGTTCCTTATTAACACAAGAATTATATCTTTGTCAAAGCCAGTCGGTTTGCTCAGGCTGATGGGCAGCATGACTACGACCTCTATTAATGAATACGAACTGGCAGCTGCCCTTAGTTGCCGTAAGTACGCTCAACAAATGTCTGATTTGTCTGATTGTCTGAGGTCTCGGAAGCATTATATGGCTTTTCCCGTTGCCAGGCCTTGCAGTGCTGCTGTTTATCTCAGCACTTTCTTAAATGCTGTTTTTGGACATGCATGAGTGGCTCCTCTCTGTCTACAGAAATGATTCATGCCCACCAGCCAAAAACCCTGCTATTAATATTTATGTGTGTGTTGTGTTATGATGAGAAATTACACTGCTGAGCTCACCCTCATCTGTCTCAGTAGCAATTCTGATTAATATGTTATGCTTAGACATAAGGCAAAAGATGCACACACACAAATATATTACTACATTAAGATGAATGTCACAAATCAACGTGTTTTCTGATTATTAAAGTACTATATGCAGTGTAGCATAGAGCAGTAAACACATAATTTAATATCGACTTGTTTGTCAGCTCTGTTGCGGAGAGTGTAATGTATTGAAATTAGCTTGAAAGTAACTTCTGCACGGATCTGCATTTGTATTCATCCATATACAAAGAGGAATGTATGTAAAGACGTGAGTGTATGACTGTGGCGATAGCAGAACTGATTTGACTACAGTGAGTTGTAAAGAGAATGAAATATAGAATATTCCATTACTGAGAAGAAGTGGAGATATGTTTTTATTAGTGTTTTTATTCGTGATTTGTTTATTCCTGCAGTTTGAGGGGGTAATTTTGTTCTGACAATGCTTTATTGATTGAAGTGAATTTCAATCAGTCTGTTCTTCACACAAGGCTACTGTATCATATGACTTCAAAAGGTACTTTTGCATCCTTTTTGAAATGTTACAGCCCTGGTCTCCATTCATTTTCATTATATAGAAATGAGCAGTTGAGAATAGCCAGAAATTCTCCTTTTGCATTCCACAGAAGAAAGTAATACGGGTTTGGAACTACATGAGGTTGAGTAAATAATGACAGTTTTCATTTTGGAGGGAACTATCTCTTTAAGAACGTGATGAAGAGTTAATGAACTGGGTGTCCTGTGAAGACCTTGTCAGTGTCAATCCAGCTTGAAGCTACTGCAGGCATTCTTATTGATTAAAATGGCAGAGCTTTTTAAATCCCCATTCCCTGTTCTTTTTTCTCGTTGTTGCTCTCCTATATTATGACAAACCTCAAAAGACCTTCCCCTTTATCATATTTAACCTAATTCATTTTGTCTACTCTGTGCTTTCCTGTATCCAAGTTACCTGAATAGATGACAAAAAAGACTAGATATTACAAAGAAATAATGATAATGAAAGTAAATTTGCTGTCAGCACTATGGGAGAGTAATGGAGTTCAAGGCGAAACACAGAGAAATGTATTCATAGTGCTCCATCATGAAGATACCTTGAGCATTGCATTGATTCGTGTGACAGTGTTTGCTTTTTCAAATTTCATCCACCCAGTGGTGATCATGCTACTTGCCTGGCAGGATTAAGTATTATTTACCCTCTCACCATATTTTACCTCCAACGTTAACAATTTAGGATTTTATCTCGACAGTAGTCTTAAACTAGACAAACAAATCAATAGCATAGTTAGCACCAGCTTTTATCATCTACGCCGGTTAGCCAAAGTCAAATCATTTTTAAGTAGAGAAAGCTTTGAAAAAGTTATTTACGCTTTTATTTCCACACGACTCGACTACTGTAACTCATTATAATTATATGTTGGGCTACCTCTCTCCTCAATTTCTCATCTCCAAATGGTCCAAAACGCAGCTGCGAGATAGCATTACTCCAATTCTACGTGCTCTACACTGGTTGCCAGTCCAATACGGAATTTATTGTAAAATTTTAGTTATCATTTACAAAGCTCATTGCAATCAAGCCCCCAAATCTCTCTGACCTAATTGTCACTCACAACCCATCTAGATCACTTCGATCAAAAGATCTATATCTCTTTTCTGTCCCACAATCTCGCTGACAATGCAGGGGTGATCAAGCTTTTGCAGCGGCTGGGCCTAAGCTGTGGAACAGCTTACCACTACCTGTTCGAACTGTGTGCTCTTGAAGAAATATATAGTTGTGCTACAGCGCATGTTCTATCAGTTGCTCCAAGGCCACCCACATGTAGTTGTTCTCTGATACTTCAATAGTATAAAATCGATAGTATAAAACAATTAACTGTGATTTAATTTTATGATTACAGAAGGTTCAAGAACTGTTCTCCATATATACAACAGTTGTTGAGGGGACAAGTTAAATTTTTTTTCAATTCTGAACAATTTTATTTTAAATGATTACGCCATGGTGTCCACCTAGTTGAGGTGGACACCATGGCGTAATTAACCAATGGCGTAATCATTCCAATTAATCAGTCACATCATATTCATTGCATATATATATATATGCAATGAATATGATGTGACTGATTAATTGGAATGCCATGTTTAAATAAATAAATTATTGTTTTAAATTGACTGACAGCACTATTTTTTAAAATACTGTACATTTCAACTGGTCTTGTGCTTCATGTCACAATTTCCCGGACATTTCTTTTTGCCCACAATATTGATTCGCTTAGTTGGTCTCAAAACAGCGACAAATAGCTGTATTACAGGACAGAGAAAATGTAATATTGTATTCCTCAGAGATCATAAGAATGTACTGGCAAGTTCAGAGTCTGCTCATGATATATTGTTAAAATTGTCCCTAGTGCCTAGGCCCTGAGCTCTCAATACCTGCCAAACTCATTACTTTATAAAAGAGGCATTTGAGAAGCACAGTCTTTTGTTTACATTTTTGCAGGTATGTCATGTGACCACCACAGGAGCTTTTCAGACTTACGACAATCTACGCATTGAGAATTCAAGTATATTACCCACAATCTACTTCCCGGTGATGCCACCTGGCTTCAATATACTTCAAGTACTCAAGATAGATAACATGTGGAGGGGTTTTCAGAGTTCCCCTGTTTACTTCTTTTCATCTACTGCATGTCTGATCTCTTAGGTGGCCCAGCATATGGACACTCTCAGGAGGAGAATTAATAACAGACAAGGAAGCTGATGAAGTCTGAGAGTGGTTTGCATCATCGTGCCCTACTGGTCCCCTGAGGACGCATGTTAAAGGTCGTCCAGACACTGTCACAGGTGAGTGGAGGAGAGAGACTAGTATGCTCATGACAGCATGTCCCCTTGTTGTCCTCAAGGGCCTAGAGATATGACCGCCCGTCAGAGCGCAACATGATGGCTGTCATTCAGAAGTGAGACAATGAGATGTGAGAGCGACAGGTCTGTAGTTGTTAAGTCCAGTGATTTTGGGCTTTTTGGGGACCGGAATGATGGTGGAGCGTTTGAAGCAGCAGGGAACACAGCTCCAATGATCTGTTGAAGATCTATGTGAAGATGGGGACCAGTTGATCAGCGCAGACTTTTAAACAGGCAGGTGAAACACCATCTGGGCCTGAAGCTTTTCTAGATTTCTGCTTCCTGAAGACACGGTTCACATCCTCTACACAGCCCTTAAGCACAGGT